CATGTACCGAAAATAAATAAAACTAAGGCATAAAGTGTGAAAATTGTCATTTATTTAGAATCCATACCTTACTTTCTTGTATTTATGAAAAAAATAAATTTCTATTTAGAGTTGGTATAGATATACTATAATGGCTAAAGTTTCATGTAGCACGACGGTCAGTTTCAAAGGTAGATAACTGCTGATACCATTCCAAGAGACACTTCTGATTTCATCGTCTTCGGATCTAAAATGTCAATTACCCGGTATTTAGAAAATGTAAGAAACAAAATTAAACTAATGAAATATTATATATTAAATGATTCATTACAAATAGTCATAATATCTAAAAGTAAAATTATATAAAATAGGATTTTCTGTCTGAACTTATAAGGCCAGTACTAATCAGTAACATTGCCATTTTTTCTGTACCTTACTCTTTTTTAACCAAATATTTGGTGTCTATGGTAACTGTAATTAAGCAACCATGAGACATGATATGTATATTTGTATTTTTTAAGCAATTTTTAAAAATCATTTGTAAATGTACTTTTTGCTAAATTGTATAGATAAAAAATTATACTAGATTTGAAAAATAATGTAATCCATATATTATTCGCGCCATCTTTTATTCGTGATTCCTCAATTTGAAACCAATCCCCGACGATTAATTTACGCGACTGAGGAATCATACTCTACATTAATATACAAAGTTTAATGAATGTTTCACGGCGATTAATTTTTGCGAGTTAAAGTAAGTCGTGCAACTCGCAAATTTTTATTGCTTGCAAATTAAAGTTGGTTTACCTTGAAGAAAATCAACAGAAATCTATAAAAATGTATCAATGTAACATAATGTGTATAAAAAGTAAAAAAAAATCCATGCTCTTGACTATCATAACATGTGTAGGTAGGCAAACTAAAATCCCTAATTTCATGTTGAAAGGGTATTAAAAAACCGTATAATATTCAATATCCTTTGGTGTATCCTCAGGTCTTGCTTTCAGTAAAACCCCAAAGTTACATTCGGAGGAGTACATTTTGTATAAAAATCAATAGGGTTTGTTTCTGGTCTGGATTTCTTTTAAGGGAGTTTTAAACTGACAGTGTCTTTATTAAATTTTTTGGCCATCATTTAGAAATGTGCTGTTGAGATTATCTGTATCAACTGTCAGATGTACAGATATGTGTCCTGGCTGCTAAATAGGTGCTCCAGCTAGATTCCTCTGACATAGTACATGTGGTTTATTCATCTTTCTGAAAAATATAAATTAATTTGAACTTTGTTAATGAAAATAGGCCTTCCATTAAGCAATTTTTTTTTCTTGTTGCTGTCTAAGAAAGGTAGTGGCTAAGATTTGTTTTCTCTATGATCAGGATCCTGCAATACAAGAAGCCCATGGTCTACAACACTCACCAGAATAACTGACCAAGTTGTTCTTCACAAGATTTCCCTTCTTGTAATACCTTTTGTGGCCCAGGCCTACCGTTGGGGGTATGATTTTAACAATTTAGAATCTACACTTTACCCCTGCTTCAACATAGGTTTCAGCTTTTCTGACCCAGTGGCTCACTATTTTTCTCTTTTCTTCGTTATCACCCCCTGTAAGGGGGCTTAGTCATGCCAAGTTTGGTAACAATTGGCCCTGTGGTTCTTGAGAAAAATCTCAGCTCTATAATTCTTCTAAATTGTCAAGTTATGTAACCCCTTCTTTGACCCTCACCTCATCCTAGCCTAAAAGAGTTAGGTTACTAGTATTTGATTGTGAATATTAGTATCATAGTATGACTATTACAACCTTGCTCATCTGAAAAGGATCTATTTTTTTTTTTAATTCTATACATATGCTGCATTTTGTAAATTTTAATTTCTAACTTTCGGCCATTGTTGAATTCAGTTTCCAATATTCAAAAGAACATTTGTGTGGTTTTAACAAAATAATGAAGATGACACTGTGTTTCATGTACAATAATAAATCTTTTTTAATCCTTTTAGCCTTCAATATAACTACAGTAAAACTAAATGATTAGTACAAACACCGTGACATGGATATTGCGATTTCACTGATATACTGAAGTGTTCTTGGATCCCCAGCTATATAAATTTTACAAATTACAAATATAGATATAAAGAATCACGGATATAGTGAAGTACTCTTACAGTTCCTAGTGAGCTTGTTATAACCGAGTTTTAGTGTACATATAATGTGAAGATAAATGATTTAACAAGATACCCAGGGCCACATCATTCACCTGGCTTGGATAAAAATCAAAAATCAGCTTTGCATTGAAAAGCTTAAAAGCATATGAGGTCCTGACCTCCCCCTGTAAGACAGAGAGAGTGGGGTGGGGTTGTGGGGTTATGGGTGGAACATAATTGAATTGAATCTACACTAAGTATGCTTACGGGTACTTATTTTTGACTAACTGTGAGTTTTTTCATACAAGTTTTAACTTTCATGTGGCCCCACCCTATACCTGGGGTCATGATTTGAATAAATCTACACTACGAGAAAATGATTCCATATGTATGTATAATTTACTGGCTTTTCTGTACTCTGGAAGAATATTTTTAAAGGATTTTTCCTCTATATTCTTATGTAAAACTTTGATTGGCCATCTGGTCCCACCCTATCATTTGAGTCATGATTTGATCAAACTTGAATCTACACCACCTGAAGATACTTTCATATAAATATTACCAATCAAGGCTTTGCTGTATCCGAGAAGAAGATTTCCTATACATTGTATATTCCCATGTTTAACTTTGGTTATCCGTTGTGGCCCCGTCCTTCACCTGGAGTTCATGGAAAAGACACACTTTCACATTTTGATGAAATGAATATAAAGAAAAATAGAAATTATGGTTTGCCAAACATCTGATTATTTTTTCAGGCTTTAAGTTTAATATTTTCGATTTTGATAAGGACTTATTCCCTAACAGTTTTTGAAATAACAGTGTGCCTGACCGCCCGAGATGCACAAATTTTGCTGTGGGCTTACAGATCTGCATACGTCGACACCCAGCTGGAATTGTTTAAAGTTTCATTAGTTAAAATTTATTAATTTAATTAATCGCTTCCAAATCAACTAATGTAATCATAAGAGGATAAGGATTTGTGATTGGGGGATAATTTCGTTCGGGCAAGGGTTCTAGGTAGTTATGTACCAAAGTATGACACTATTAATGATAGTCATATCATAGTTTGAATGAAGGGGTCCAGGGGTGCGAAGCCCCCGGAAGCTGCTGGGCTTTCTTGTATTTAAGAGTAAATCTAGGCAAAAAAGTATTATGCATTATTTATATTATTCATATCATACTTTGACAACAATTTTAGGAGGGGATGGGGGTGTATGTCCCCCCCCTTTAATCTGCTTGTGAGTATTGAAAGCAAAGTTTTATTAACAAAAAGGTAAAAATTGTCAGCCGATAGATTCGGGATTGAAATTTTGATGATCTGACCCTCATTCACATTTTATACCCCCTGGTTAAAAAGCAGGGTGGGGGTAGGGGGAATATAGTTATCAGGATGTATATCTGCCCATTCCTTCCGCTGTTAAGCTTTGGGGAGCCCATCTCATATCACAACTCCTCTCAAACAACTGTATGAAATTTGATGAGACTTTCACAGAATCTTTATTACATATTGTAATTTTGACCTCTTATTTAACTTTTTGATCCGACACATTTTTTGGGTTCGTATGTAACCCTGATACAAGACTATTTATTCCAGTAACACAAGTTACATATTTTACATATTTATCTCTCAATTGAAAATGCTGGTCTTAAAAGTCAAGAAGGACCAGGGTCTTATATTTTTAGGTTACATCATCTGAAACCAAAAGGGGTCTTTATTATCAGGTTACATTGGTTACAACTATATTTCTTTGGTAACGATTGGTTACAATGTTTACAGGTCCTCTGAAATTAAAAGGGGTCGTTGTTTCTTGGTTACAATTAAATTTCTTTGGTGACAATCAGCTATAATGGTTACAGATCATATTCATCCCAAGAGGGTTACATTGGTTGTAACCATTGGAACCAATATAATCAATTAAAACTGAAATAAAATCTTTTTAACCACTGTAACCATTGTAACCAATTTAAAACGGAATAAATGGAAATTATTAGCTCCCCAGTGAAAAGGTTTTGTAACCAAATGAACATAGGTGAAAGTCAACACTAATGTCTTGCCATATATGCAAACTCTGTCTTCATGTATAAATAAAATTTTGTTTTTGTCAGATAAAAGCAAATTGAAGGCAGTTATATTTTTTATTATGGGCTTTTTCTTATAAAAATTTAGATTGACATGTCCCTTGGATGTATGAAAACCAACAAAACTTAAAAAATGAAGATGAAATCACACACGTTTTTAAGTTTTTTTTTTTACTCTTTGATACAGGATGTTCAAATTTTATAATTCACATTCAAGGAGATACATACACCTTTCAATGGATATTGTTGACTGTTTCAGTACAGTTGGGTATATATTGAATTCATTTTTTATCAACTTTGGATGAAATCCATTTAAAACTGTGATTAAGTATTTATTTTGATGTATCTAAATGTAAATATGATTGAATGATTTTTGAAAAATCTACCACTATCACCAATCACTTATTTTCATTTCTGCCTGGTTCTTATTAATATGTGTACTTAAAACATACAGAATTGTAAAGTACAAATGAAAAACAATTTTGTTCTGAAAAGGACGAATTAGAAAGACACTTTTCAAATTTATCTTTCATTTTAAAGTATATATCAGAGTTCTTAAATCTGCAATCACATGGGTGCATTTTTAAAAGATTTAACCCCCCCCCCCTAAGAATTTCACACTATGTTTTTATGCTATTCTACTTCTAAATCTAGAGTTACCTCTCTTTGATCAATATTAAAAGAACTTGAAATAAACAGTGTGATAAATAACAGGAATTAAAATGAAGCTTTTATGCCATTTTATTAGGTCGAAATAATAGATTGAACACTTCGTTTGAAGGTTTATGTCCATATAAACAACCATCAATACTTCAATGTCGTTGAACACACTTCTTGATGTATAAATGCTACGTAACCGTACCTGAAATTGGAAAGATACACTGTTAAAGATAACTTAAACATTTACACACTACGTTTTCGTCAATGTTCACTTATTTTGCACTAAACCCACTTTGAATACTTACAATTATAAGAAGAACATCCGCAAGATGGTGGTAACTACAATACATATAGCTAGGGCTTGGTTGTTTCCTGATTGTTGCTTCGAGCTAAAATCAAAATTGTCAAATTTCTTATGGAAATTATCATAAGCTCCAAATTTAGAACAATAACTAAGTCTTATTAATCTTTTTACTTTATTAAGAACTTTAAAATGTTGCAATTGTGATGCTTGCCTTGCCTCTTTCAAATTCTCAAATTCAAATCAATTTTATTCAAAAAGTCAATAACAATGAAGGTAATCTGTGCTAACAAATATGTGACTATCTAGGTAGAAGGTAAGCAAGTAAAAATTTACACATCTAGATATCGATTGTTTATAATCGGTGTATTTCTTTAAAAATATATTTATAAGAATATAATTAATTTTTTACGTACGATTTATTCCTGGCTGATGAACATGTGGTGGTACCTTTAGGTAATTGATTGCTTACTGTTGAACTTCTTTCTAATTCGTAACAAGATTGGTCTGAAAAATGAATTATCATATTCTCTAAAACAATTCTCAAACAAGAGGCCCATGGGCCACATCGCTCACCTGAGTAACTTGGGTGATGCAGTTCTTTACCAGTGTCCCCATCTTGCTATACCTATCATGCCCAAAACCCCCCTTCCCCTTTTTACTTAATAACTTTAGAATCTACACTACCCAAGGATGCTTCCAAATAAGTTTCAGCTTTCCTGGCAAAATGGTTCTTGAGAAGAAGATTTTTACATATTTGTTCTATATATTTCTATGTAAAAATTGAATTCCCTTTTGTGGCCCCACCCTACCCCCAGGTGTCATGATTTTTACAATTTAATATCTATACTACCAAAGGATGCTTTCATATAAACTTCAGCTTTCCTGGCCCAGTGGTTCTTGAGAAGAAAATTTTTAAACATTTGTTCTATATATTTCTATGTAAAACTTGGATTCCCTATTGTGGCCCCGCCATACCCTAGGGGTCATGATTTTAACAATTTAATATCTACACTACCCAAGGATGCTCCCACATAAGCTTCAGCTTTCCTGGCCCAGTGGTTCTTGAGAATAAGATTTTTAAAGATTTGCTCTATATATTTCTTTGTAAAATTTGGATTCCCTATTGAGGCCCCGCCCTACAACTGGTGGTCATGATTTTCACAATTTAATATCTACACTACCCAAGGATGCTTCTACATTAGTTTCAGCTTCCCTGGACCAGTGGTTTATAAGAAAAAGATTTTTAAAGATTTGTTCTACATATTTCTATGTTAAATTTGGATTCATTATTGTGGCCCTGCCCTACCCCAGGAGGTCACAATTTTTACAATTTAATATCTACACTACCAGAAGATGCTGCCACATAAATTTCAGCTTTCCTGGTCCAGTGGTTCTTGAGAAGAAGATTTTTAAAGTTTGTTCTATATATTTCTATGTAAAACTTGGATTCTCTATTGTGGCTCCACCCTACCCCCGGGGGTCACTATTTAAACAATTTAATATCTACACTACCAAAGGATGCTCCCACAAAAGTTTCAGCTTTCCTGGCTTAGTGGTTCTTTAACGATTTGTTTTACATATTTCTATGTAAAACTTGTATTCCCTATTGTGGCCCCGCCCTACCACTGGGGTTCATGATTTTAACAATTTTAATATGAACAATATCCAAGGATGCCTCTACATAAGTTTCAGCTTCCCTGGCCCAGTGGTTTTTTGAAAATTTTTGAAGATTTGTTCTATATATTTTTATGTAAAACTTTGATTCTCTATTTGTCCCCACCCTCCCCCCGGGGGTCATGATTTTAATAATTTCATACCTACATTACCCAAGGATGATCCCACATAAGTTTCAGCTTTCCTGGCCTAATAGTTCTTGAGAGGAAGATTTTTAAAGATTTGTTCTATATATTTCTATGTAAAACTTGGATTCCCTTTGGTGACCCCTCCCTACCACTGAGGGTCATGATTTTAATAATTTAATATCTACACTACCCAATGAGGCTTCCACATAAGTTTCAGCTTCCCTGGCCCAGTGGTTTCTAGGAAGATTTTTTTTTTACGATTTGTTCTATATACTTCTATGTAAAACTTGGATTCCCTATTGTGGCCCCACCCTATCACTGGGGGTCACTGTTTTAACAATTTTATATCTACACTACCCAAAGGATGCTCCCACATAAGTTTCAGCTGTCCTGGCCCAGTGGTTCTTGAGAAGAAGAGTATTAAAAATTTGTTCTATATATTTCTATGTAAAACTTGGATTCCCTATTGTGGCCCAACACTATCACCGGGGGTCACTATTTTAACAATTTGATATCTACACTACCCAAGGATGCTCACACATAAGTTTCAGCTTTCCTGGAACAGCGGTTCTTGAAAAGAAAATTTTTAAAGATTTGTTCTACATATTTCTATGTAAAACATGGATTCCCTATTGTGTCCCCACCCTACCAATGGGGGTCATGATTTTAACAATTTAATATCTACATTACCCACGGATGCTTCCACATAAGTTTCAGCTTCCCTGGCATAGTGGTTCTTGAGAAGAAGATTTTTAAAGATTTGTTCTATATATTTCTATGTAAAACTTAAATTCCCTATTGTGGCCCCGCCCTACTCCCGTGGGTCATGACTTTTACAATTTAATATCTACACTACCCAAGGATGCTTCCACATAAGTTTCAGCTTTCCTGGCCTAGTGGCTCTTGAGAAGAAGATTTTTAAAGATTGTTGTATATATTTCTATGTAAAACTTGGATTCTCTATTGTGGCCCCACATTACCCCTGGGGGTAACTATTTTAACAATTATATATTTACATTAACTACGAATGCTCCCACATAAGTTTCAGCTTTCCTTGACCAGTGGTTCTTGATAGGAAGATTTTTAAAGATATTTTCAACATATTTCTATGTAAAACATGGATTCCCTATTGTGTCCCCACCCTACCACTTTGGGTCATGATTTTAATAATTTAATATCTACATTACCCAAGGATGCTTCTACATAAGTTTCAGCTTCCCTGGCCCAGTAGTTTCTAAGAAGAAGATTTTAAAAGATTTGTTCTATATATAACACCATATATGGGTGAAAGCGGAACATGACTACATAGATAAAGAAAGCTGACGATGGAAACCTACATGTACATGTACATGTACATGCACAAGATATTTTTCACATATCTGTCAATTAAATATAGTTGTTAAAATAAATTAAGAAATGTAATGCAAACCGTGCTTCGAGCGTGTTAATTGGCAATTACAGCCTTCCTGAGCCTGGATTATCTTTTTTTTGTCTATTTTTTTTTTCACTTACACTTGTATGCCTCAGTCGAGTTGTAGCTCATTGGACATGGATTATGTTTGTGATGTAAACACTTTGTATTTACACTTTGTTGAATAAGATTTGCAGTTTTGCTATATTCTGTACAATAACCTGCAAAATTGACCATAAATAACATGCAATAATAATTTTGATGTAACTAAGTGAACATTTTTTATCTTTACCTATTGTTTTTCTATTAGGTGATAATGATGCATAATTCTTAATTACTCAAGCAAGTCAAATGGATAATAGAGTAATTATATTGAAAATGCTTTATATTATACTGTAATTTAAGCAACATATTTTCCTTATCAAATGCTAAAATTATAAAACTATATGTTCCATGTCATCACAAAGTTATAACTTAACCAAATACCCCAGTGGATGATTTTGGAATATGCACAGACTTCAAAGACTTCATTGTGATTTGGACCTATCACACAATGGTACACAAGTTTCTCAGGATCTTGACACTTGGTTGAAAATGCTGTGCAGTTTTTTCTTAATTCTGCTTCTTTCAATTCCTTCTCATTTTGTGGGCAGCTTAAAACAGATTTCACTGTATTTCTTGACACAGGACATGAGGAACTGGTGTCTGAAGCCTGAAATGACATATTTAAGAAATTTATGGCAAATTATGGAAATTTCAGTCATGTATGTAAGGTTACAAAGCCTTTAAAAGACTCCAAATATCTGATACATGTGATACATGTTCAAAAGAAGATTAGTAACAAATGTACAAAGTGTAATAAATGTTGTCTTTGAAAACACCCTGTGCCTCGTTTTCGAAACATTAACATTTATTTAATGTATGTTAATATAGTAATAAGGATTTTCTAGCCAAAGATACTATGACAATGCTTTCTTATTAGATATATACAAATATTTACATGAACATGGATGTTTGTACCAACTTTAATCATTCTTCAATATGCATGTTGTTTTCTTTTCTCTATTACATATGCACAACTTTAAAAAAAAGTTTATGTATTTAAGCAAGACAATTAGGATATGACAAATACCTCTACAAGAACATTGAGTTCTTGCATTAACTGCATCAAGCTTACTGACGCTATTAACAAACGGTGTATAAACAAGAATTGCATTTCAAAGTTCTTTTAAACATGTACAATCATGTGCTTCCGCCTTATTTGTTATGATTTTGCTCTTCACAAATTTAAATATTATATTATATATATACAAAAAGATTTGCTGTTAAAACAATAAAATACGATAACGTCCTTGAGCAAATTTTATTCAGGGCGCCATTTTGTTAAAGCACCCTCTACCCGAGACAAATAAGCTGATAATGTAGAAACGACAACTCTGCATTATAGATTAATTAAATTAATAACGAAAAGCAGATCAAAGAAATTGTAAAGTCTGATAGTTTTCCATTGATGAAAACAAGAATTGGTAAAAAAAATATAAAAATAATAAAAATAAAAAATAGAAAATAAAAAGGTTATGCATGGAACAATGGAACAAAAATTTGAAAATGCACATTCCCCGCTTTCTAGATTTCTAGTTGTAGATTCTACCTTTTCATCTAAAGATAAAAATTGAAAACTGTTCTTTTAATTTATTTTCTTTGAAATTTATTATACTGTGTAACATTATTTTTTATATATCATTTGATTTATATATATTTTCAATTTTTCAAATGAATCAGACAACTATAATTATTATAATGCTCAATCTAATTATAAGTTTTTCGTTTTAATTTTAACAAATATATATTTTCTACATTTTCTTAGAGTTTCGTGCATTTAAATTGATACTGCCTATAAACGTAGATTTGTCTAATCAAACTATTTTCTAAATTTTATACTTATCACAAACAGGAAACAGGTACATCATTAGTAATTCCAACGTGATAAATAATTTTGCTGTTACTCAAACGAAGTTTCTCCAGTTAAGAACGTCCCAGGAGACTTTAAATAAAGCGCTTGTATTTTTAGACAAAGTGGTTAAAAATTGATCATGAAATATTTATTAAAGGTATACTTCTATTTGAGTGTCGTCATAAATAACTACGTAGTGTATATAGACTTTGAATGGTATTCGCTTTAAAATACAGTACAAGTAACATTGATGTAAAGCATCAATTCGGCCTCTAATATATAGCTCGTCAAAAAAGTACTTTCACAACTCAAAGCAGTCATGCAAGGAAAACACGGGATATTCAAAGCTGAAAAAGTGATCATTTCAATAATTTCAGATCGTCTTGAAAGCAAAATAAGTAAAAGCATCTATTTAAGATATAAAATAGATGCATTCACTTTATGAGAAAAGAAGTCGGGTTTGGTGTATGATATGCAGACTTCAAAATTAATATCGGGTTTGGCCTTCCTTTTATGCCGGGGTAGTCTCGCGTTTCCCCCATACTTTGCCCGAGCGAGAGTCTGGTCTGATTCCTATTTAATTTTTGTAATTTCAAATCGAGGCTTACGGAGAAATCGGTATGGATTTTCATTGGCTGATACATTCTCTTCGATGCTTAGAATTTGTATTCTTTAAAATGTCAGAGGCTGTGCCTCTACTTTTATCTGGTTTTAAAATAAAATACCTTTGTCTGCTTTACAAGGAACAAAAAACGCACATATCTTTGTTTAAAAAGTAAATTGTCACATGTATTTTCATGGGAGTCGCCATCTTGCTAGCCGGTTTAGCGACCTCTACTGGTTACAAAAATAAAATAGGAATCATGCAGACCAGACTCTCGCTCGGGCAAAGTCTCGAGACCGAGAGTCTGGGGTAAACGAGACTAATGCCGGGATTGCTGAACAGGAAAAAGCAATCGCAATTTCTCGGACCTTTTCGACTATAGCGGAAAAACGACCTCGAGTGTATATGGTAAATGCCATGACAACCCTACCTTTTCACAATTTTTGAAATAAATGCATGGAGACCTTATATCTATGGAACATGGAGTTTATCTTTATTCAATGTAATGATAATACCTGAAATATTCTAAAGAAGGGACTTTTAACTTCATCTATCCTATCTTTGAATAAACAGTAAATGTATAATTTTTTAACATCCGGTGATGCAAATACATTGGAGAGTGAGGGAGTAACCCGAGATGATGCGATTGCAGGAAATAGGTCACAGATTAATCAGGGGTTTAGATTTGTTAAAAATACGACGAATTGGCTTTAAAGAAATGTTAATTGCCCACCCACCCATCCTTTTCCAAAAGAAGTATTCATGAAATGTGTTGGAAGTTTAATAATAAAAATGCTCTGTACTTCCTAAATGCACTTGAGATAAACAAATCAGTTGAGAAATGCTTAAGAATTTTTCAATTTAATTTGTAAAGGCAATTGGTACTGCTGTATTGTTATAATTTGTAGGAATATGGTCTGAGCCCTGTTGATGTGGGTGAACTGGTACCATTAAGACATTCAATGTTGGATAGACAATATCAATGCGGAATTTTAGGATTTACTGATTGATTGTCTGTTGTTGAGTGTCCCTTTCGAGAATTTTTCAATCATGTGGGGGCGCCGCCGTTTGCCGATGGAGGACTGCAATATTTTGTCTTGTACTTGAGGCCCTTGAGCAATGAGGGATCTTTTTGTGCCGACACCTACTGAACACGGGAACTCGGTTTATACGGTCTCATAAGAACTGGCGGAATTCTGGGAGGATCCGTTCCAAAATGTCGTGGCGTATGCGCACACAAAAGTCAACTGATATTTTAATTAAGTACTATTATTGGGAAATAGTTCTGACTAATGGTTGACAATGATCGAGTGAAAATGTTGTATTGGCAGAAACTGCATTGCTGTGTAACTGGGTTTGACCGAGGTTTGAATAATTTTTTTCCTGCTCATATGCGTAGCTCGCTGGGGCCGTTACAACCATTGTTTACAACGTTGTTTGATTTTTTTATTGTGACGTCACAATGCCGTTGCACGCGCATTGACTCTCCAGTGAATACGGCCTAAAATCCGGTGAATATGTACAGTGTTATGAACTGTTTGCGTTTGTATAGATTATATAGGGACTATAAATAGACTATATAATAAATTTTAATATTTTTATTTCCAATTGTTGCCCCCTTTTTGCGAAAGCGAGGGGACAATTAATCTCATTCGTCTGTCCATCTAGTAGAGCTATGACTTTCATATTTCACATGTGTATTCCTGGTGACAAGCCCTTTCTTAGGGTGCCACCAAATTTGACCAACCTTTTGACCTTGACCTCGAAATTTGACCCACTTTAACGCAAACATTCGAAACATTTACTTTGGCCATAACTCTTCAATAGCGAGACCGAGAAGCCACTTCCGTAAACATGGTAAACAGCCCATCTGAACCACGTGGAGAAATCGGCATCGCCACAATAATCGATGTGCACTTCGTCATCTGATACCGACATCGTCCTTCAATCATTACCATCCGACTTATGAAGCAACTCAACTTCTGTGTTTTTTAACATCCACACAAATCTGTCTGATGACCATGCTGACCAACAGTCCAACTCCCTTTTCTTCAACATTGCATTCAATATGGAGAAGCGTTCTAGGGCCTATACACGTTTTTATGCTTTCGACAACCTAAATCTAGGTCAAATATATAATTAAAGTAAACAAGATTGCTTTGGTCATAATAGAAAATTCTTTTGTTGTTTATTCTATAAATGCTCATATTTGGCTACAGTAACTAAATAATCATTAAATTTGGTTCGTGTTTTAAGCCACACCAATAAACTTTATTGTTCGTTGGACCCGCATGCTCTTATTTAAAAAAAAATAAACAAATTATGTTAATTTAAAATTCCTGCATCATTGGAATTCTGTGCTGTTTTCTGTTATATTTCCGCTCTATTTATCGTACTTTTAATCTACTTACTCTGCGCATCAGAAATATAATAATATGTTCTTTTCAATGACAATTATGTAATTATAGAAAAACTTATGACAAAACTTCAAGGCATATATTTCAAAGCATATGCTTGCACAATAATCATAGATTACTAGAAATTTAGCGAATTATTGTAATCGTAAAGCTTAAGCATAAAATTGGTAACCACAAAAGGTCCAAAATGACGTTCTAAAGTGCAACCATTCTTTACACAAATGTAGCCTTGAATTAATTTTTTTAGAAAATCAAGCAGTTAAG